AGGGCTATAGGGCTATAGGGGTATAGGGCTATGGGGCTCTAGGGCTATAGGGCTACAGGGCTGGCGGGCTATATGGCTATAGGACTATAAGGCTATAGGGCTACATCACTATAGGGTTTTTGGGCTATAAGGCTATAGGGTTATACGGGCTATACGGGCAAAGGGCTATAGGGCTACAGGGCTATCGGGCTATAGGGCTATAAATCTATATGGGCTATTGGGCTATATGGCTATGAGGATATCGTGCTATATGGCTATGGGGCTATAGGGCTATAGGGCTATAGGGTTATAAGGCTTTAGGGCTATAGGGCGATAGGGCGATAGGGCTATAGGGCTATAGGGCTATAGGGCTATAGGGCTATTTGGCTATTTGACTATTGGGCTATTGGGCTATTGGGCAAATTGGCCTAATGGAACCACGCTAATTGGACTAATGGGGCTGTATGGCTATGGGGCTATAGGGCACCCCCGGGCACCTCCAGGCACCCCCGGGCATCTGGGCCCGGCCACCGAAATCGGCGGCCCGGTTCACCTAACCATAGGAATCCGCTAGGACCCCTGCAGAGGCAAGCTCTGATTGCGGAATTTGTATACATGTATGAACATACAACATACATATGTTTATGTATGTATATATGTATATGTAGAGATACAGTGCAAGCCACGACCGAGACGCTATGCTGGGCCACGACCGGGACAAATTCTGGAAAGATTGAGAGGATGTTGTCTCAGGCGAGAGAGGCCCGGGTGCCCAGGTGCCCGGGTGCCCGGGTGCCCGGGTGCCCGTGTGCCCGGGCGTCTGGGTGCCCGGGTGCCCGGGTGCCCGGGTGCCCGGGTGCCCGTGTGCCTGGGTGCCCGGGTGCCCGGGTGCCCGGGTGCGAGGGCGCTCAGGTTCCCTGATGCTTCCATGCGAAAGATTATGTATGCACGTTTATGTGTATATATATATGTATATATATATATATGTATATATGTATGTATACACGTATAAACATACTCATGTGTATGTATGCATGTATGTTAAATACTGTGCGAGCCACGACCGGGACGCTAATCTGGAACAAGTTCTGGAAAAGTTTGATTTTAGTGATTCTCCAAGACTCTTTTGGAGTTTATGCAAGACCGCTTAGGAGGCTCCCAAAAAGGCGCCGAGACGGCCCAAGAGACCTCCAAGACGGCTCCAAGAGGCTTCCAAAACAGCCTAAGAGGGCCCGCCAAGAAAACCGCAGAGGGGGGCCTGAAGAGGGCAGGCGATCGAGAAGCTCCCAAGAGGTTCCAAGAGGCTCCCAAGAGGCCCCGAGGAAGCCCCAAGAACCCCCCAAGAGATCCCCAAGAGGCTCCCAAGAGGCCAGAAGATCCCGAGAGTTCTACGAAGAGACCCCAAGAAACATTCACGAGGACTCCGATCCACTACCCAAGCACGGTGGCGGGATGGGCCTCAGGCCGCTAGTCACCAGACCTGCTTGGCACAGGGACGGAAAGCGCGTTTATTTTGCGAGGGCGCGAGGTCGCTGGCTGAGTGTCTTGGAGCATTGCTGGTGTAAAAGCGATGGTACGACATACAAATATATAGCAAAACGCAATGCGAAAACCAATTAATATTGCATTGCATTTCTGGGCCTTCCTGGGGGTCCTTATGGTGCTCTTTTGGGCTGTATGGGAGCCCTCTTGGGCCGTCCTGGGGCCCTGTCGGGCTGTCTTGGGGGGCTTGGGCCGTCTTGGTGCACTCTTGGGGCGCTCCGGGGCCCTCTTGGGGACCTCCCGTGGCCCTCTTGTGGCTCTCTTGGGAACCTTTTGGGACCCTCAGGGAGCACCTTCTACGCCGTCTGAACGCTGTGAAAACCAATGTGACGATTATTGCCTGTTGGGGGTCCCCTTTGGGGACCTTTGGGGGCGTCTTGGGGGGCTCTTGGGCTGTCTTGAAGCCATGTTGGGATTTCTTGGAGCGCTCTTGTGCCGTCCTAGGGCCCTTTTGGGCCTCTCCGACGCCGTCTTGGAGGTATCTTGGGCGCTCTTGGGGCTGTCTTGGGTCGTCTTGGGGGCCTCGTAGGCGCTTTTGGGGCTGACTTGGGCCGTCTGCGGCTGAAAATTGTCGAAATTTTGGCCTATGGACCTGGGCCGGCACGGAAACGCAAAGAGAGCCACAGGAACTTGCCCGAGATGGCTCATGGCACCTTTCGCTCTTGGGAACCTTGGTGTTGAGAGCTTGTTACGTCACCGCTCGCTCTTGGGAGCCTTCGTCTTCAGAGATTGTTACATTGCCGCTCGCTCTTGGGAGCCTTAGTGTTCAGAGATGTTTACGTTGCCGCTCGTTTTTGGGTGCCTTTTTGTCGAGAACTGTTTACGTCACCGCTCGCTCTTGGGAGCCTTGGTGTTACGAGTTTGTCACGCCACCGTTCGCTGTTGGGAGCCTTGGTGTGAAGAGCTCTTCGCATTACCAATCGCTGTTTGATTCGGCGTCTCTGGCTGGGCCTTTTTGGGGGTCCTTTTGGGGCCCTCGGCTGGTTTTTTTGAACAACGGGGGCCATGACGGCCCCAAGAGGCCGCTCAGACCGCCAAAAAGAACCCCAAGAGGGCCCCAAGACCCCCCGAAAAAGCAAAGGGCCCCAAGAGGGCCCCAAGAGAACCCCAAGAGGGCCCCAAGATGGCTCCAAGAGACCTCCGAAAAAAACGTTTCCGAGGCGGGCGTCGCACCGCCTACTTCCACAATCACCGTCAGCACCATCAGCAGCACCAGCAGCAGCACCACCACAACCACCAACAACAGCACTAGCAGCAGCAGCGGCAGCACCAGCAGCAGCACCACCACCATCAGCAGCAGCACCAGCACCAGCACCAGCACCACCGCCAGCACCACCAGCAGCACCAGCAGCAGCACCAGCAGCAGCACCACCACCAGCAGCAAAACACCAGCAGCAGCACCAGCAGCACCAGCAGCTCGAGAATCGGCAACACCAGCAGCAGCACCAGCAGCAGCAACAACAACAACACCAGCAGCAGCACCAGCAGCAGCAGCACCGGCAGCAGCAACACCAGCAGCAGCACCAGCAGCAGCACCAGCAGCAGCACCAGCAGCAACAACACCAGCAGCAACACCACCAGCAGCAATAGCACCACCAGCAGCACCACCAGCAGCACCAGCAGCACCAGCCCAGCAACAGCACCACCACCACCAACACCAGCAGCAGCACCAGCAGCACCAACAGCACAAGCAGCACGAGAACCAGCATCATCAGCACCAGCAGCAGCAGTATCAGCAGCAGCAGCAGCACCAGCAGCAGCACCCGCACCCTTCGCTACCATAGATATCCCAATTCACCGTTGTCGCCCGCGCTGTTACACTATGTGCGTCTCTTCCTCCCTTCTCCCGTCAACTCTCCTGGGCATCGTTCCTGGGTGGGCTGGTGGGGATTTTTTTTAACAGCCGCAGGCGGAAGCGCCAGCGGCAGGCGGTCACGGTCGGGCTGCGGCCGCGACAAAGGGGGGCGGGCGCGCGCGGGGCCGCGGTCAGGCGGCAGGCAGCAGCGACCCAGGGCGTCTGAGCCAAAGCGTGCATATCCAGGGAGTCTGCAGGGCAGCCCCTGAAAAGAACGTGCAACGGCGCATCCAGGGAGTCTGACAACAGGCACCGAGGAAGCCGAGCGCAGCCAAAATGGCGCGTAAAGCGTTCCCAACAGATCGAGTACGAACGGGTGGGGAACGGTACCGAGCGGGACATCAATCCAGGGAGTCTGCCGGGTACGCACAGACAGACTGGTGACACAGTCCAGCGGGGAAAACTCGGACGGCGGCAGCGGACCATCGCGACGTCAGAACACGCATCCAGGGAGTGGAAACAACGTAGCCAGAGAACCTTCCACAACTGAGATGCGCCTGAGACTGGTGGGGATACGCGAAGGGTCAAGAATTACGGTGGGTCTGCGCTCCCAAGGCCCCGATCCCTCGTACATAGATTGCATTGCGTCCGCGCTCCCAGGAGCACGATCCCACGTGAACTACGCTGCGTCCGCTCCCCCAGCGACACAACCCCTTGTAAATTACGCCAGGTTCGCGCTCCCAGAGCAACGATCCTTGGTAAATTGCATTGAGATTGCGATCCCAGGGCCAACATCGCACGTAAATTACGCTGCTTCCGCGCTCCAAGGGCCATGACCCCTCCTAAATGATTCAGCTTCCGCGCTCCCAGGGCAACCATCACTAGTCAATTACGTCCACGATCCCTTGTAACGAACGGTGCGCCCGCGCTCCCCAGGCCACGATCATCCGTAAATGCTGTGCGTCCGCGCCTTGAGGACTTCCTGGAGCGCCCTGGGGCCGCCTGGAATTTCCCGTGGCCTTCCGAGGCCTCCGCGCCCTTTGTTTGTCAAGGATTCTGCGCGCAGGGCGCGAGCGGGCACGCGCAAAATCGACCTGTTTTCATTCCTTGCGGAATGTGCGTGATCGGCCCGGTTATTCGCCGAGGAATCCGAACAAAACGCACCGCTCCTTCTTTTTACAAAGGTCTGCGGACCCATTGTATATCGAGGATCCGAAATGCGGGGCGCACTCTCCTCCAGCCGGCGCGCGGGAAACGAACCTTTCGATTGAGACCCGAATTTCAAAAATTCCTTATCGAGCGGAAATCCGCAGGCCCACCACTAGCGCGGCACCAGGGACAGCGGAACACCTAAACGAGAGCCCTGGGCCCCAGCCCTTTCCGGGAGAAAGATCCGCCGGCCCACCTCGACCTCGATATTGATGAGAAGAAAACAACTCAGTCGAGGGGCTTGGGAGAAACATACGAAAGAAAACCCCGGGCCTACGCCCTCTCCAGAAAATCACCAGGACCGCGAAAATGAAGCGCGTGATGGATGTAGTTGTCCATGCATCAGCGCGACAAGAAACGCGAATCGTTACAACGCGCGGCCCGAGGAGGCATCGGACCAACAGGACTGGAACAGTGAGAGCATGTAGAAATGCGGTGCAAGGCTGAGGCCTGCGAGCGCAGGTCGATTCCTGCACTAAGGAAGGAGAGGATCTCGCTCGCATGGTTTGAACTCTTTGCCCTCTCTGTTGCTCTCCCTGGAACTGCAGGAGCGAAATCGCCAACGCCGAGTTGTGGGCGGCAGCGGGCTACCATTAGCGCCCACAGGAACGTCATTTTGGAAGCAAGAGTTTGCCAGGAATCCGAATATCAAACTTAACGACAAAAGGCTGTTTCCGAAATTCAAGAAATTTGATTCCACCTGGTTGATGTAAACCGTTTCCTGCATCCCACTATGCATGTACTGGAACTCGACCATTGCGCCACTTTGGTTCGGCATCGAAATCTCCTCGAAAAATGCATTACGCGACGCAGAATAAGACTGCAAGTGATCAGTATCACCGTGAGGCGCGTTCATCCTGCCGCCAAGACTATCTATCCATCGCCAGCTTCGCGCAGCACCAAGTGATTTGGGTCGTGCGGCGGAAGCCTGCGATACTCCTCATGGTCTGACCCCGATAACGAAGAAAAGATATCAACTCGTCCTTGGGCATCGCCTTCGCTTCGCGGAAACCCCTGCCTGCGATTATCGCCTTGTCCTTCAATATGTGCACATCCAACCCGTCAAAATACTTATCTTCTTCCGTGATGAAGCCGCATTGACGGTCTACGTATGGCAGGCCTAAACCAAGCGGAGAGATGCTCTCGAGGCTATTAGCGAAAAGGTCTCCAGTGCGGTTTGCCAGTGACAGCTGCAATGTAAAGCCTATAGCGGATTTGCCTTCTGAGTCCTTGGCGTGACTGACGGCCAGGCGAGCCGCAGGCTCACCCCATCGATCAAGAAACCCTTCCCCGACATCTGCCGTCATCTCCATGACCTGGACTGTCTCACTTACCCGCCACCGCGACCCCTGGCACGATAAGGCGTGGAAGAATGCCAAGTGCTGTCTGCCAGGGCTTTTGTAATCCCCCCCCCCCCCCCCACACACACACACACACACACACACACGCACACACACACGCACACACACACACGCACACACACACACACACACACGCACACACACACACACACACACACACACACACGCCACCACCACCACCACCACCGCCCACACCAACGCCACCGCCGCCGCCGCCACCACCGCCGCCACCACCACCCCTACCCACCCACCCACCCACCCACCCACTCAAAGCACCCAGGGGCGCGCATCGCCCCCGCTTCCCCCCGAAGCTCCCTGGGCTGCCACGCGCCTCCTCGGCGCTCTGCATTGCGTCCAAGATGCCCAATCTGGCGTCCACGACGGTTCCGTCAGGCCACCAGGGCCGCCAACATGGGCCAAGGCCTCCATGGCGGCCTCAGATAGCCCCGAGATGGCCCAAGATGGCCTCGACGCAGCCCAAGTGGGCCCAAAGGGGGCCTCAAGTAAGGCCCGAAGCAGCTAAACTCATGGATGGTTTCGTTAGGTGTTGGAACATGTTCGCGTTCTCGCCTGTCCGACCTTCCGTCGGCTCAAGACGGCCTCCAAGACGGCCTGCAAGATGGCCCCAAGATGGCCCCACGACGGCCCTCAGAACACCTCAAAACAGCCCAAGAGGCCTCAGACGCGGCCTCAAGACAGCCCAAGAGGGCCCTCGGACAGCCCAGGACGGACCCAAGAAGGCTTCAGACTGGCCTTAAAGGGCCTCCAGAGGGACCCAAGACGGCCGCCTCAAGGGGCCCCCGGACGGCCCAAGACGTCCCCACGAGGGCCCCAAGAGACCCCTCAGACGGCCACGAAGGCACAAAGAGAGCCCCACGACGGCCAAAGAGGGCCCCAGGACGGTCCAAGAGGGCCCGAAGGAGACCCCCACGACTGCCCCTCAGGAGCCCACGACAGCCCCAGGACGGACCAATTGAGGTCCACCTGGCTACTCGAGAAGTGAAGATTGAGGGTGACACACGTGACGGTGCTCCCTGTCGTCGTCGCGTCCTCCCCCTAATAATCCTCCCCCTCCTCACCATCATCGTCATCATCAACGCCATCATAATCATCGCCATCGACATCGTCATCATCACCGCCATCCTCGTCCTCGTCCTGCTCACGATCATCATCGCCGTCATCACCATCACCAACGATATCATGCCATTCAGCCCCGGCGTCCGCCACAATCCTCCTCCTCATCATCATTATCATCCTCTCACGGTCGTAGTGATCACGATCAGCAACATCATCACCATCATGAACATAACCACCATACAAATCATAATATTGATTAGCTTCATCATAGTCATTACAACCAACGTCAACATCATCAACATCATCGCCATCATCATAATCGCCATCGCCATCGCCATCACCATCGTCATCGATGCGAACAGCTGCCGCCAGGAATGCTGGGCTGGCACGGTGACGGGACTTGCCGCAGACAGCTGGATAATATCGCTCAGGTCAGGTATGTACAAAGCACATCGCTGACCCTTACTGGAAAACGGGCGCAAAAGGGACTGGGCTCTACGGCGGAGGGTCGAATTACCCAGGTCGGAACTCAATGTCAAAATCACGTTCAACGCGCGCTTGGCAAGTTGCGCGCGGCCACCCTCGTCCCATGCGACCAAATCACGGGCCACGGAACCATTATTTTTTCCGCATCCCAGGACAAGAACGCGTCACCCGAGGCTTTGCTTGTTTCTTCGATTGCCATTCTTGCGTGCTCCCTGTGGAGATAACGCCGCGAGCTATAATTGCTGCCGCCCTTCGTCAACGATTTGGTGAACTCAAGGAACTCGCGCGTTGCCTGCTTGGCGCTTGCGTACGCCATTTTTTGCCACAAGTTTGCGCTGGTAACGAAACGCGCCCGGGCGCGCCGCATGCGAGAAACAAGCCCATCGTTGATCCATTGGTGAGTTTGCTGCTGGAGCGCAGCGCGAAACCGCTGCGCGGCTTCGGGACCCCGCCAGCGCACACTGCAGCGCGCTGCGATGCCAACGGGCAACAAATCACTAGATTTGAAACTACGACAAGCGCCATACGCGCTTGGCTCCAACTGTCCTCGCTGCGTCGTGTTGAAGCCGTCATAAGTTTCGAGATCAACCCACAAGTACTTCAGGAGATCGGGATTGTCTTCGATGCAAATGTTAATGGCTGGTGCACGCAAAGACCGGTCCGTGATGACGGTCTCGACACTGTCGTGCTTGCCAAGATTGCTCCACAATTCCTTCCCTTTGATTGCACTGCCAGAAGCAAATTCGCAGGCCCAACGGGCCAGAGGCGTGCTAAGATCTCGGGTAACTGGTTAACACTATTTCTAATTCGCGCACGCGGGGCGGCCCCTGGGGGTCCCGTGCCCCGGCCCACTCCCGGCTGATCCCCGGCTGATCATCCCCGGGCGACTCCCCCAGAGCGTTCCAGGAGCGCACCAACAGGGCTCCAAGACGTCCCCGAGGGCCCCAAGAAAGGCCAAGAGGCCTCCAAGAGGCCCCCAAGATGGTACACGACGGGTCCGAGATGCCACAAGATCGCTCTAAGACGCCCAAGATGGCCCCCAGATGCCTCAAGAGGTCTCCAAGAGCACTCCCAAGAGGGCCCCAAGAGGCAAAATGCATTGCTTTCCCTTAGGTTTACGTGAGATTTGGGCGTTTCCACCTTTTCGGCTTCCCGACGCCCCAAGACGGCCCAAGAGGCCCCCAAGATCGCCCCAAGAGGGCCCAAGAGGCCCCCTAGAGGGCCCCAAGACGGCCCAAGAGGCCTCCAAGACGGCCCAAGAAGGCCCCAAGAACGCCCCAAGAGGGGCCCCAGAGGGGGAACACGAAACAACATTTCGAGCCCTCGGCCTTAAGAAGCCCCCAGGAGGCCCCAAGAGGCCCCTAAGAAGCCCCAAGAGGCCCCCAAGAGGCCCTCAGGAGGCCCCCCAGAAGCCCCCAAGCGGCCCCAGGAGGCCCCCCAAATGCCCCCCAAATGCCCCCCGAGCACGCAAGCAAGTGCCAGCGATGCTAAAATATGGGCCGGCGGAATGAGCGAAGCGATTAAATCCGCCCGCCCACCGGGCAGAGGGGCGTGTGGGATTTAAGTGTGAAGGCTCCCTACAGGGCTTTAGCCCCCCCCTTTTACCCCCCCCCGGAGGCCTCCGCCATTCCGCCGCCCGGCTGCGGGAGGGCCCCTTTTCGGGCTCCAAGACGGCTCCAAGACGGCTTCCAAGACGAGCGCGATTTTCAGATCGTTCTCGGGACGCGTTCGGGCCGCATTTCGGCTCCATTTTGGCCTCCTCGGGGCCCCCTCTTGGCCTCCAAAATGGACTCCCGAGGCGCTCGGGAGCGCTTTTTCGGCCCAACTACGCGCACAAACTGGAAACTTCAAAAAACATAGTAAAACACATAGGATTTGAATGATTTTAGCCTCGCTGGGGGTCGCGCGGACGCCTCTGTTAGCTGACTTTCGGGTTCGCCTGGGATCTTTTTCGGCACGCATATTTCGACGCCTTTTTTAAACGCGCTCCAGAATCGATTTTGGACGATTCTCGGCCCAACTTGAAGCCCAAAACGGACCCCAAAACAGCCCCCAATCGGGCCGGTTTACTCCGGAAGACGGCCGGGGCTGCTGCCCAACGTGGGGATCCTCGCGCTTGGGTCGTCCAAAGCCCGCCTGGGCCGCCTCGGGCCCGTCTTGGGTCCCTTTTGGGCCCTTCTCGGGGCCCTTTTCGGCCCTTGTTGGCGCCTTTTGGGCCGTTTTTGGGCCGTCGTTGGCTGGTCTTGGGCAGCGTTCTGGCAATCTCTGACCTCCTGCTGTGGAAAGGAGCGAATGTCATAAGAGCCAGCGTCCATATCACTGATCCGTTTGTGATGATGACGAGCCGACGACCCATCGACAAATATAACATCGATCAGCCACACGGCATACCTGAACCCAATAAGCGATGGGAAGGAGGAGACATGGAGCACAGGAAAAAACAACAAAACACGCCTGCGGGGGGTCTTGAATCATTTTCGGAAGATGTTTATCCCGTCTTGGAGCCGTCTTCGCCTCCTCCGGTGAGAACTGGAATGGGCGGGCGGTGAACGCGAAGCGTCTTGAATAAGATGCAAGACAGAACGAACACGAAGATGCCGCAACGGTGCTCCCCGTCGTCTGGGAAGCGATCGCGGCTGGGGAAATGGAACTTGTCCATCAGTGACTCTGGAGCTCCAGAAGATTGTAGACCTAACTTAGAGATTACCCGTCGTCGGAATGGCTGACCGCTGCGGAACAACTCACTGCCGCCAGACCTGAGCCAAACATTGTGAACGCGCGAACATTGAGCGCGCAAGGGGTCGTGCCAAGGGACGTGCCACGGGAGGTGCCAGGTGTCACGGGGCGACCCACGAACCCTGAATATGATATATAATTGCGAAGCATCGAAACGCTTCAAGGCACCTAACTAACTTCGGGGACGGGCACGAGC